GTCAGTGAAATCTCTACAGTACCTTCATATTCAGTTCATTCCTCAAGAGCAAGAGTCTAACCAGTTTTCTAGTTATCTAATTATAATTGATTACTTTTAAAGATTATGTTTAAAGACACAATACCTGGTGAAATTTAAAACATGACGCTCTTTTCATAACCGTCCTTCAACATCAGGGCTTGTTCTTCTCAACTAATAAATTTTTTTCACCCCTACAATTATCTTACCCATCTTGTTTAATGGTTTTCTAAGCCACAAAGCTTTACCTTATCATTTAGGCTGTATTTATCTTTCCATGCTGGTTCCTGTCTAAGGAATAAGGAAACCTTGGAGATGATATATATATATATATATATATATATATATATATATATATATATATATTCTTGTAATCATTAATCCCTTCATTATAATGCAACAATTAAAGTCATTTTGCAACATCTTTGGATGTTTTATAAAGCCCCCTAGTGGACTTCAAACCCATTCTGAATTACTTTGACCATTTTGACGTTAGCTGATGATGGTATTACTTATTTTAGTCAATGGGCATTACGTGTAAACTAGTGACGGTTTCCTTGTAACTATTTTGCAGGAATATCATAATTTTATTTTATATTTTGCATTAATATCATATTTAATAAATATACAAATTCTCGAAGCAATTAAAATTATAATGAAACAGCAGATGAATATGAAGCATGCATATAAAAGAATAAATATTTAAAATAACAATTTTGTGTTTTTTGTTATGTTTCTTATGTCTAAAATGATGCTGCATTTCTTTTTGAATTCTTTCAAGCCATTTTTTTCATATTTTCTGTGTGGTGTTTAAACGCATGACATGCGGGAGTTGCTTGGACTCTTGTTTACGAAAATATAAAAATACACCCTCGTTGTAAAAAGTGAGCTGTCACTGCTTGATCGAGCGGTGACGTCAAGCCCCCAGTCTGCGTACTGTTTTCCTTCCGCGAGTATAGTCCCGTATTTTTCACATTCATATCTTATAGCAACACGCCTGTGAAGTAAATATATGATTTCAAACAGTAGCTGTATTTTTTGAGCTCAACGCTTGAATGTAATTCGCAAACTACCGTGTATTGGTTTGGCGGGAAACATTACTAGCACAGCCATACGTCAGGGGGCGTTGCTTCAGAATCAGCTCGCGGGAGCTTATTCATCCTGCCCCTGACACTCAGACTATCAGTCTGTCCAGCATCTGAGAGCTGCACGAGCGCGCAGGGTTGTTTATATTTTCCATCACTTTCCTTCCCACTTGACCGTGACTCTGACGCCACTTATGCTGCAAGTGACCGGAGCAAAAACTGTTGGATTTTACTTCTCGCTCCTTCTTTTTTGCTCTCTTTTCATTGCATTGCGTCTCGAAAGAAACAATTCTGGAACGGCATTCGTTAAATACAAGGTAAGGATCTGACAATTGGACGTTTCACGCGTGTTTTTGACTTGAAGTGTTGTTTGACAGTAAGTTTGGTTCGGATGTGCGCTCGAATAAAGCACCACAAGCAGAGATGCTCGAGGATGTTTTGGTAGAAGTAACCGCCGCTTTGGGCTTCACTCGCTGTTTTTACACACGCTGTCAGTTGCTTGTGTTATTTACACGCTTGAATATCTTTATATGTGCAGTTTTTTTGGTGAAGCTTTTGTGTTGTGTGTTTAGTTAGACGTTGCCTCTGCACCGTAGTGATTCATATTTGTTTTTTTTTATCTCCTTCCTCAAGTGTCAAAATGCTGGTGAGTGCGAGTTTGGCGTGTAAAAACTACGATTACGACTACGACTCCATCCAGCCCTACTTCTACTTCGACAACGACGATGAGGATTTTTATCACCATCAGCAAGGACAGACTCAACCTTCAGCCCCCAGCGAGGACATTTGGAAGAAATTCGAACTGCTGCCCACACCGCCCCTCTCGCCCAGCCGGAGACAGTCGCTCTCCACCGCGGAACAGCTGGAGATGGTCAGCGAGTTCCTGGGAGACGACGTGGTCAGCCAGAGCTTCATCTGCGATGATGCGGACTACTCCCAGTCCTTCATCAAGTCCATCATCATCCAGGACTGCATGTGGAGCGGCTTTTCTGCCGCTGCCAAGTTGGAGAAAGTGGTTTCAGAGAGACTGGCGTCTTTGCACGCGGAAAGGAAGGAACTGATGTCTGACAGCAACTCAAATCGACTAAACGCGAGCTATTTGCAGGATCTGAGCACCTCTGCATCAGAATGCATCGATCCCTCTGTGGTCTTCCCATATCCTCTGACAGAGTGTGGGAAAGCCGGCAAGGTTGCATCACCACAGCCCATGCTGGTCCTGGACACTCCACCTAACAGCTCCAGCAGCAGTGGCAGCGATTCAGGTATGTTATGTCATTTAGATCTCCCCACATCCTGATGTAATGCATGCTCGCGTTTGTAAGTGACCTCTACTTGTCACCGCTGAGGTGGAGCGTGCCGGTCACGGGACTTTATCCTTGTACCCTTGATGCAAGTGGTAGTTGCGTAAGATCCCTCCACCTCCCCCTGTTCGACCCGAGTCAGTTCTGTAGGAAAGGCTGCAATGTTCAAATATCAGCTGATGAGGAAAGTGGGCGGGGACTGGAATGCAGAGATTTCACACCCCCCCTTACCCCACCCATTGTGGAAAGCCACTTGCCAAATTCCGTTGTATTCACTCTGCTGTGTAATGTTGGGACGTTTTTTGCAAGGTAATAATAATTAACATTTTTTAAAATTCAATTGCAGAAGATGAAGAAGAAGAGGATGAGGAGGAGGAAGAAGAAGAGGAGGAGGAAGAAGAGGAGGAAGAGGAGGAAGAAATTGATGTGGTGACTGTGGAAAAGCGACAGAAAAGGCACGAGACGGATGCTTCAGAGTCGAGGTACCCCAGTCCCCTAGTTTTGAAGCGCTGTCACGTCTCCACCCACCAGCACAACTACGCCGCCCATCCGTCAACGCGGCATGACCAGCCTGCTGTCAAGAGGCTACGACTTGAGGCTAGCAACAATCACAGCATCAACAGCAGCAGCAGCAGCAACAGGCATGTGAAGCAGCGCAAGTGTGCGAGTCCTCGGACATCGGATTCTGAGGACAATGACAAACGCAGGACTCACAATGTGCTGGAGCGACAGCGCAGGAATGAACTCAAACTCAGCTTTTTCGCGCTACGGGATGAGATCCCTGAGGTCGCGAATAACGAGAAAGCTGCTAAAGTGGTTATCCTAAAGAAGGCGACAGAGTGCATCCACAGCATGCAGTTGGACGAGCAGAGGCTGCTGTCCATCAAAGAACAGCTGAGGCGAAAGAGCGAACAGTTAAAACACAGGCTTCAGCAGCTGCGGAGTTCACATTAATGAATCTGTGTCACAAGCGAAAAGACTTTCCAAGAACTCCCACCCCCTGCTTTTTTATGCAAGACTGTTGCTGTGTATAGTTTGAACGTTGCATGTCAAATGCATTTTTTTTTTTCCTTTTGAATATTGTCAACTTTTTTCATGTTTGAAACTGCCAGTTTGGTTGGAAACTACAAGTTTGTTCAAGTAATTTGTATTTAAGGGATTTATTTTTATTAATAAAATAAGAAAAATATAGGGCTGCGCAGCCCTAGATTAAAATGTTTTTGTAAGTTTTTGTATATAACGAATTAATATTTCCTAAGAAAAATATTTTTGAACCTGTATTAGCTATGTGTTCTCATAAACCATATTCGTTTTCAATGTTTTCACTCAATCATAAAGGAATTTCTTTCTGAACTTGACTCTCTTGGTCTCATTATACACACAGATTAGACACTATTGAAATGTTTGTAGAGTGTTTATTCAGAAAAAATAGCTAAGTAATGTATAATACTGCATTTTGTTTACAACGAAAAGATGCCTGTCCAAAATGTTATGTGGGATTGCTGCATGAAATACACAGACAATACTTAAAAGCATGATTAAAGAATATAAATACTTGCATCCCTGCATCAAGATGAACTTGACCCCCCTCTGATTTGGCATTCAGAAGTCAAAAATGAAAGCTATTGAAATGTATGTTGTGGACCGTTTTGCCTGCAGGAGAAGTCCCTTTCAGGTGATTTAACGAAGCTGAGTCATTAAGATCTCTCAATCATGTCTAGAAGCAAGGCTCAGAGCATCTGCTATGGATGTGGCAAAGCTCTGTTAATGCAGTCTGAGCTGCAAACCACTCAGAAATCAGTGCAGCAGCTATGGAGACATAATTAAACAGTGTGAGAATTATAGCCTTGATTTCTTTAAACACATTTTAAAACTATATGTTGTGGTTCAGCTTAAGCAAGCTTTTCAGATCTTCTATTTATTTAATATATAAATTAATAAGCAGTACAAGCGTTAAATGTTTATTACATGTACGCAAGCTATTTCAGTTCCTGATTGACAAATTTAGCCTTCTGCAAAAAGTAATATATTACAATCTGTTGTCACTTAAAAAATAAATAAAAACTAAATAAAATAAATAAAATATTTTATTTAACTAAAATAAATAAAACTTAACTAAATATTTTAATGACTTTTTAAGGCCTAATGTGAATATAAATGTGCTATGTTGTTTTATGGTAATATTTTTTTTCTTTTTTTTAAAGAGATAAGGTTGACCTAAAATTGTAATATATTACTTTTTTTCCCCAACACTGGCAAAATGTAAACACAAGAAATAACCACTGCTACTGTGCTTACTACTAAAGCTAACCACAACCATTATTTTAATGAAGTGGTCAGACGCCACCATCTATATTGTCCCATAATTCTCACCATGTGTGGACACATGGTGATTGAAATGATTATAGTGTTTTCATATCCATAAAAATATAAATATCATGTATCAATATGAGAAGCTAATCAATGAGCATGATTGTCGCAGCAAGGCTCCTGCTTTGTCCCTTCTTTAAACGCTCAGTGTTTGTCTCCTGCATGACGATACTTCCACACTGACTACACAAAGCTGTGATTTTTCCCCGACTCCGCTGTATTGGGTCTGCGTGACGTCATCGACTGTATGACTGTACGCAGCGCGTGCCGCGGAGCGCGTGCTCTGAGCACATGGAAGAGGGCTCGAGACGAAGTATCCAAAGAATAACTCCACACCTGAAAGGGAATATCTGCAGAAACCGAATCAATTCTGGAACAAAAGAGGGTAGGTGCTGTATTCTTTTCCAATACTGTGCGTTATAATTTTGTTTTAGAGCCTCACGTGTTCATGCTGCACAAACTGATGCTTTGACAATAGACATATGTGCTTGTTATTATATGTATTCAGACGTTAGCCGTTTCATAATGTTTATTCACATTATTTCCAGTTTTCATAATGTTTTATGTATCTATTATTACTGCCTATCTAAGATTTGATTGTGTCATTGTAACACTTATAGACTATTATCTTTTATGTTCTTTGTTTTATGCTGTTATGTGTACCAAACCAATATAAGAGAATGTATGAACACCTCAGATCACACATATACTTAATAATGTTTAATATATGACAAAAAAAGCAAAATCAAACGGTTCTTAAGTAAGCATTTGCAATGTGTTTGCTTTGATTGAGCTCCTTTTGTCTATCAGATAAGTATTGCAGCCACATTGCACCACAACATCTTCACTGTTTTAAATAAAATTGTATATATATATATATATATATATATATATATATATATATATATATATATATATATATATATATAAATGATTGCTCCTGCATTAAAATATTGTTTTTGTGTCTCAGTAAGCTGCAACATATAACGGCTATTAAGTATATTAGGTGTTCTAATAAATGTTTAAAAGTATTCTGCATTAATACGTTCATATTCCATATTAATTAAGCATGATTCCTCACCAACAAGGTTATAATCGACCATACAGCATGCATTTATTGTTTCCATGCACGGAATATCCATTGCGTTCTCTTGTTTTTGATTTGATTTTAAACATGTGTGCTTTAAATGTTCATATGGACTTAAAAATACAATCATTTTTTATTTTCTGTATATTGTCAGCTGACATATGTATGCAGAAACCTTGCAAAAGTGTACAGGTGTGGTGCACAGATTTTGATGTACAGCTTCACGTTTTAGTCTGTAACAGTAAACGCCTAGTATGAAAACAGCAAGCAAGAGAAACACAATTAATTACTTTATGCTCTTAAAAATACATCACAGCAAATGTTAGCAGTGACTTGTAAGCAGAAAAGAAACTGGTTTCTCTGGCTCATCCTTCTCTAGGGTCACATGATTCCCTTTGGCAATGGCAGAATACGTCTGACTGAGGGAGGTAGACCACACACTAATACACAGTCGAGGTCTGTCCTGGCCTTGGGGTTAGTCTGAAACACAGACACAAATTGCAGTCTTAAAACCCTGTTTAACAGCATATAATAGGTGTATATAAAAGTAAATACAGGTGGCCTGAAATGATAAAGCTTGTGTTTATTATTTGCAAGCCACAAATTGAATCAATGAGTGATATTAATAAGCAAGCAGTAGATGATACACTTTGTTCTCTTAACAGACCTGCACTTGGCGCATTTAGTATATGTTGGTGCGTTATTTATACCTTCTTGTCTTATTGAACTCGCTTAAGTTTATGTAGCAGATTAAACATGACAAACATCAGTGATTGCACTTTTGCTGTTGCTCAAACTTTGAACAACATCTTAAGTGGATGTATTAAACTTTGGCACTTTGTGCTTTAGGAATGAATGATAAAGTCTCAGCCTTTTTAAGGAAACTTTAATTTTTAAGTGCCTTGTGAGTGTCACTTGATGGACCAATAGAATAGTTAAAAATAAATATATTTATTAAATTTGATTCATTCATTCATTCATTCATTTTCTTGTCGGCTCATTCCCCCTATCAATCCGGAGTCGCCCCAGTGGAATGAACCGCCTATTAAATTTATTTATTTAATAAAATCAAAATTGACTCACCTTCAAGTTGTTCCAAACCTTTATGTGTTTCTTTCTTTTGATAAACACAAAAGAAGTTATTATAAAGAAAGCTGAAAAACTTTAATATTCGACTTCCATAGTTAAACAAAAAAAGTATTATGGAATGCCCAGCAAACAACTTTGTGTTTATTAATTTGGCGTCTAATAGACAGCTAAACCTAGACAGCTTGGCTGAAACGAAGCTAAACTTTTAGCTTTGTTTTACCCAAGATGACTATGTTTATTAGACATCTATTAAACATCTTTTAAAAACAAAATAGGCTAGCTGGGTGGATACATGTTTTCAGCTTTTTTCAAAATATCTTCTTTCTGTTCATCTGAAAAAAGTCAAACACGTTTGGAACAAGTAATGATGACAGATTCTTCAGTTTTGGTTGAACTATCAAGTAAAACTAACAGGGTTAACAGAAAACCTGGAAAAGTCATGGAATTTTGACGGCATTTTCCAGACCTGGAAAGTTTTGGAAAAACAGAAAAACCCACAAGGTTTTGGAAAAGTCATGGAAATTACATTTACATTTAATCATTTGGCAGACATTTTGTTCAAAGTGACTTAAGCTGAGTCACACCTTGCAAAATTCTGCGAAAAGAGACGGGGTTAAACAATATGTTTATTCATTAATAAAAGTGAGCGATTGCTCCATATTTAAAATTACTTGTTTTAAATAATCTTTTTTGGTCTCACGCAATCACCTGATGTGATTTTGCTGGTAAGAATTCACCAAGCTTGAACTTTCGAAGTGCAGTGAAATGCGAAAGACGTGCTTGCGTTTCTGTTCTGCATTCGCATGCCTATAAATGGAAGTCTATGGAGCGAAAAGTGCAGTGTGATCACGGCTTTATAATAGAAGTCGTTTTTACCAACTATTACTAGTTTAACAAACTATTAAGTTTATCTAAAATTGGTTTGACAAATATCTGTATATTGGAATGGAGGTTAGTTGATTTGACTTCTTTTCTTTTCTTGGCCAAAAACATGCTCTCACATGTGTAAGCATCATTTATTTTACATAAATATAAAAATAAATTGAGACTACTGCATGTTTTGTGATATGCTGTAATAAATTGAAACATTTCTCATGATTTACCACGTACAAATGATATCAGAATTATTAGCCCCCATGAATTGTTAGACCCCTTGTTTATTTTTTTCCCCCCAATTTCTGTTTAACGGAGAGAAGATTTCTTCAGCACATTTCTAAATATAATAGTTTTAATAACTTATTTCTAATAACTGATTTATTTTGTCTTTGCCATGATGACATTAAATTATATTTTACCAGATATTTTTATGACACTTCTATACAGCTTAAAGTGACATTTAAAGGCTTAACTAGGTTAATTAGGTTAACTCGGCAGGTTAGGGTAATATTATAAAATATATAAAAAAACTAAAATAATTCAAAGGGGGTCTAATAATTCTGACCTCAACTGTATATGTAGACATAACATGAAACATTAGGTCATCAAAATTGACTTAAAAGTCCTGAAAAAGTGAAGGAATTTTGAAGTAAAAATGTGTACGAACCCTGAACTAAGGTAAAAGCTGTTGTGATGTAATTTTCAAATTTATTTTGGTTGTTTGAAAATAGCTTGTCGAATGCACATCATAGAAAAATTTGATGTGAACGTCTTCTCTGGTTTATCTCTTCTAAGATCAAGCTAAAGCATGACCATCTGGTTACTTTTCTGTTGCAGGACAATAATCAGATTTTGCAGGACAATGTGGCACATGTGGATGCCTTTTCCACAAATAAAACAATATTTTTACTTGGTATAAGATTTTTTTTGGATATTTGGACTAGAAATGAGAAAAAAACAAAGTAAGAAAAGCAAGAAAACAAAGAGTTTGCATGTTCTCCCTTAGTTGGCATGGATTTTCATCCGGTTGCTTTGGTTTTCCTAAACAGTCCAAAGATATGCCGTATAGGTGAATTGGGTAAGCTAAGTTGTCTGTAGCGTATGTGTGCGAATGAGTATGTATGGGTGTTTCGCAGTAATGGGTTGCAGCTGGAAGGGCATCCACAGGGTAAATCACATGCTGGATAAGTTTTTAGTTAATTTCGTTATGGTGAACCCAGATTAAAAAAAAGGACTAAGCTGAAAAGAAAATGAATGAATGAATATTGCGAGTGCACACATTGTGATATCAATGCTGTAACAATATATTGTGCAGCAATTTTAACCCAGTAAAAAGGTGTTTTTATTGTGTTAATTTTATTTCAGGGCAGAAAAACAGGCTACAGATAAAATTTTAATGTGGGACACTGCTCACATCTTGTCAAAGCTCCCAGTACTCAAAACCTGGGACAAAGCTCCCAATGTTGGGAATGTCATTCAGACTGTTAGACAGTTGGTCACCCTAGGTCAGCACCGAATAAAAATATGAAACCAATAGAAACCTGTATAGTATGCTTTATAGTAGATTTTGAAGTTGTCAGTTGAAATGTAAGCAACTGATACACTGATTTTCATATTTGATGCTATAAAGCTGTTTTAAACAGTTTGTTGTAAAAATCACATACAAGTAAATATGACGTTAATTAAAGTGATGGTTCCATACCTTTAACACAAAAGAACATATGTTCGAAACCCATTACCGTTGTCGTGAAATTACCATACTGTATGTCGTGAAATTACCATATATTACCATACCATTACCCATTACCATCCCAAGTCGTGAAATAAATATATGGGCAAAACTGGAATATCACATATAAGACATGTGAATAAAGCAGTGTTTCCACCCAAGAAGTCAAAGAGAACAAAATCGTCACTTTCTGATTATCTCGCACTAAATACGGAATTTGCTACAGTAGGAGAAGCTGCATGTATTTTTTTCTTTACTTATTAAATGACTTGCACCTCAGAAGACAGTATGCCGACACGAAATGAATGTGTGGTGGCATTTAAAGGCGTCAGACGTAGAGATAATTTATTAAATATTAACAGTAAGGTAAGGCATTTTAGAATGGCCAAAACTACATTTCAGATGTTTTACAGTGTGTCAGCTTGCTGGTTTGTCCATTCACATGGTTTTTTACCATCACATGATCTCTTATAACAAAATCACAAGAATTTTTAATGCGCATACTGGAATTTGTTTGGTGGAAGTGTTTCCATCATAGTTTATGTGGATTTTTTCTTATCGAATAAAAAGTTTATCCTTCTTCAGTTATGCACATACATTATGT